CTAAAATCTGCAATATTTTCTGATTTGACTTAGATTAAAACCATGTCCCAGCTTCCATGCTGGGAGCACGGCTGAAAAAAACAGGAATGCAAAACACAGAGCTCTACCCAGATGAAATTCAGAACTGAAACCTTACCCCAGTCCCACACACTCACCCCACCAAGTTCTGCTTTGAAACACTAAAAGTTTGTCCATGAGAAAGGATCAAAAATCTCCAAACTATCCTGGGCTCTTCCAAAACCCAAACCTGCCAGCAATGAACTCGCCATGAATTTCACCCAAACTTTCTAGTGCTCAGCAATACCTGTGGGCAGCAATATTTAAGGACTGAGCACTGAACAAGGAGACAGCTGCTGCATTTCAAACGAAAACGTTATTGAACCACTTGGAGAAGCCACAATCCAAAGGCCACACAAACCTGATGTCACTTTTTGGGATGGGATGTGTTCAAGAACCAACCATGTGTTCAGCAAACTGCTTGTCCCCACCCTGGAGCCAGGAGGATTTGATAATGGAAAGATGCCCAAGACTTTCAGAGCAGGTCCTAAAACGTGGGCAATTACCCACTGAAGGATGTAATAAACACCACAGCAGACTACACGTCAGCAAGGCTTTTAAAATCCTAATTCTCCCCCAGGGAAAGTGCTCAGGCAGGCAACAGTTTGGACATGGGGGGAAATCCAACCTCCACGGACGTCAGTGGTGTTTTTGCAGCTCTTGCAGGACCAGGACACAGCCCCCAGACTTGCAGCCTACTGAGCTTACAGGGATTTCACAGAAGGTTTTGGCATGAGAGAGGACTGCTAATTGCATGGAGGGTGACTGCAAAGCTGTGTAAAACACACAGCAATAATTTGGAGAAAAAAAAAAAGGCATCAACAAGAAGAAGAAGAAGTCAAAATGTTTTGGCTTCAATGTCATCTGCACAATGTGGAAATACTGAATAGCTTATTCCTCACTCATAATTGGAGTTCACTGTTGAGCGTCTCCAAAATCACAGGGGAAAATGCTCCATTGTTCTGCACTTTCTTTTGTAAAGCTGTTACGTGTTCAGCCTCTAAAGAATGCATTTTTGGAGAAGAACTATGCACTGCTTACTTTACAAAGTAAAGTTCCTTTGCTCAGTCCTGCAACCTGAGAGTAACAAATGAAATTGTCAACCGTGCATTTTTAAAGGAACGTTTTCATTTCAGCATCTGGATTAAGATGCCACAATGAAAAACAGCACACAGGCTTCCCTCTGCTCCCTTCATACATCTCCCATTCTTACATTTCAGACCCAGCAAAGTTTCAAAGCAAACAAAGAATCAGTTGGTGCTGCTAATGCCTCGCTTCTTACTCAATAGCCTGATGTCATGAAAAGACCATATTTTTCAAATCTACAGCTCTGCAAGCCAAAGAGTTCACATACATTCCCACCCCAGAAATATATAGTCAGGAATACAGCTGAAAGTGATTACTTAGATATTTTTATATGATGAAATTCAAAAGCTGCTTCAAGTGATTTACAAAATCTTCTGTAAGACAAATCCCACATCTGTGCTGACCACTTGCCTCCCAGATCTCAGCAGATGGCAATTTCAAACAGAAAAGTTCTGAGTCCCTGAAAATCAGGGTGTACCTTAAACTGTAATCAAGGGTCTGAAGATTTTTCCCTCCACAAAAAAAAAATTGTGGACAGATTAATTTAATGACATTTCTATCTTCTCCCCACCATTTCTTGCACAAAGTCTACCTACAAAATTAGTACCTGGTGTCTTATAATGAGAGGCTCCCATGGATAAGGGATAAAGGGAAAACACTCTGTCCCAACCAAAGGGAATTTACCAGTGTGAGCAAACGGAGATCCTCAAATTGCTTTCAGATACTTGACTGAATAATCACAGAAAAACAATCAACATGTTTTGCATTTATTTAAATCCAGAACAGAAGCATCTCAGCCTTCCCAAGAAGAATCTGTACAACACTCAACCAGATGCATAAATACAGCAGAAAAACCACAAAACACGAGAGAGGCAAAGCACAGCCCCAGCACCACTGCAGCACTGTGAGGATGCACCAAGGAAATGTCAGGAGAAAATTCAAGATTAAAAATAATGACTGGGCCAAGAAAGTAACAAGTAAAAACAAAAGCAAAGGCAAATAAACAACAGCTAAAGATAAACTGCTGCTCTCTCACTGGAGGGCTTTTTCTCCTCCAGCACTCTCCTTTCTCCCACTCCTATGTGGAACCATGTGAGAGGATCTCCTCAATACAGAATGTGAATGGCTTATAAATTTTAGCAGAGATGACCAAGATGTCCCACAGCAACACAGCAGAAGAGCACTCCTCCAACAGCCTGTGTGCCATAAGGCCTTGAAAAGCACCCAAATTCACCCTGAGTGTAGGAGGATTCAGCAGCAGGGACGGCGTGGAGCTCCCCAGGAGAAGTCTGGGAGCAGGGAGGGATTCACCTCGCTGGGGTGCTGGGGACATGGGGGCACGTAGGCAGATGGGAGCTGCTTACACTGCTGAGGCTCCCAGCAGCAATCAGGATATTAAAGCTGTTATTAAATCAAGCCTCCAGAACTGGAGCAGATGTCCATGCAAACAGACAACAACGGGGTGATGTTAAACCAAAACCACAACCAAAACGAAGACACTGAGCATCATCTCCTCCCCATCACTCTGCTCAGCCTCGCCAGGCATTATCAGAAGACAAATCAATTACCAAAAACTACCTGTGGCTGCCCAAATCCAGGCCTCAACGACTGAACTGAGGGACGTGCAGCACGAGTTAAAGGCCTCCAATCTCATTTGGCTCATTCTGGTTTTGTCCTTGAAGAAAACCCAGCCAATAATAGGTCTGGCTGCGGCTCAGACAGAGGCATAATGCCATCCTCCTCATTAATCAAAGGCTTTCCCCATGGCCAGATGTTTGCTGACTTGTACTGCTTTCTTTTATTACTGGTTTGGAGGCAAAAATTGCTGTTTGCTGAAGTTACTCCAAGTGAACTGGTTGTCCCTGGTAACTGCACCCCGGCATTATTGAGTTACTGAGGCATCCAACAAAAAGTGGCTGTTTGCTTTGACAATTCCATCTACTTTGCCCAATAACCATCAGAGCAAGATGCTAATTTACTTTTAGGACTGTGGGAATTGTACTGCAAACCCAGAAAGGAGCCGAGGTTTTAAGATCTATCAACGTTTGGTGCCCAGAGTTTGGAAGCAGAGATGCAGAAAAATGCAAGAGTACACCAGAGAAGGACAATGATAGATGGACCTTAAAAGTTGTATTTTTCAGTTACACTGAGCAACAAAAGTGGTGCTTTTATAGAGGATAGGAAGCCATCATCTCTCCACAAAGCTTTCATGGCCTCAGTAAATAAAGTAACCAACCCACAAGGGGAAGAGTTGGCTTGAAAGGACTTTTGGAGGTTTTGAGCCTGAGCATCACCCACACTCAACCCTGCTGGGCAGAGCTTCTCCCAGACATGCCCTGTAACCTGCAAGGATGGGGAGCTGAGAGCTCAGGGACAGAGCTCTCAGTGTTCCCACCCCTCTTGCTGTCTCTACCCTGCATCTATAATATCCCTTTTTTTTTCCCCATAAATCTACATAATTCGCTGGGGTTTAGGAGTATCCCTTAGTGCAAAGGAACCATAACTCAAAAGCACTGCCTACATTCCTCTGATGCTTTTGTTTTAAAACAAATTAAGCCTGTGAGGCACTGAACATATGCTCGACATCCTCAGCTCTTGCTGGCATGTTTTTGAAAAATAGAAAGTTTGTGCTTTTCTGGGGAGTTAGGTCATTAACCCGGCTATTTAAAAAAATCAGCCTATTATACAAGGAAACTTCTAACTGCCTGAGCTACAGGTTATAAATCTCCTGTTTAGAAATCTGATATCCTGACATAATTGCCCTTACAACTTACAAATAGGTTCTCTGTTATCCGTAGATTAAGCTTCCTCCAAAGCCACATCACATCTGCTTAGTTTTGAAAATATACAGCATGAGCTTCAATTACTTTACACTCCACACAAAAATAATCCTGAATTTAACTCAGGGCTTCTTGGAATAAGAGTTTAAGACCCCATAATCTTTTTATTTCATGTTTTCTTGCAATCTAATAGATGGAAGCATTGGCCAGCATGTAAAATTAATGCCACCTTCCACTTCTACGATTTCCCAACCATTTAACTACACTGCAGTGGAATTTTTAAAGCAAATACAGCAAGCAGAAGTCCCACCATCTAAATAATCTGAAATGTTCTGTAGGGAAATGGTCAGCTACTAATTGGAACCACAGTGTTTTCACATCCCTGTAGGAACAGGGTTTGGTTTAAAAGAAACCTGAGTTAAATTGTAGTTTCTCTGAAGGATGAAGCTTCTGTTGCAGCTTCTCTGATTAATGAAACTCATCAGATCCTGACCACTTGGGTGAGCTCCCAGTTAGAAGTGTCTGAACTTCAAAGGGGCAAACTGGGGGCCGTGGGCAGAATTATCATCCAGGTGCCCAGCATTAAATACGTGAGAGTTTTTGCAGGAGTGGGGGCTTAGTGACAAAAAACAGCGGCAAACAAGGGAAAAAAAGGCAAATCCGTGTTTCAAAGCTACATCTCTTCTGAGCAGCAGGGACATCACAGGCGCTGCCAGACAACAGCCAACTTTGCCTTAAATTCCTTTACCTAAGGAAGGGAGCAGGGCTCAGAGACCCATCCTGGAGGATGTCATCCCTCTCATCCCTCTCATCCCAACACAACCTCGAGGTGCCCAGACCAAGGGATGCCTGAGGGGGCTCAGCCACCCCCAGCCCTGCAGGTACCAGCGTTATCCCAATCCCAACCAAAGCTGAGCCAGAGTCTGCCCGCTGCTTCCACACCGGCTGCTTCAACCACCAGCCAGAAAGATGTTTAGAAATGGCACTGTGGGGCACCATCTTTTCAATTCTTACTCAATTGCTTCCAGAGATTAGATTTGTAAAGAGGCTTTTTTTCTTTTTTTTTTTTCCCTTTTAAGCACTGCAAGCTCGTTGGGAAGTGGAGGCTCAGCCTGTGCCTTCCTTTTTTCCTCACAGCCTGCCCGGTCTGGGTCTTAGCGTGCTTTCTGTCCTTTACCTTTCAGATTAAACTCCACGGATGAGAAGCTGGAACTCGCAGAGTATCGAACGCACCAAAGGAGAGGAACAAACCCCATCCCACAAACGGGCCGGGCAGCTTCGCCAGCAGCTCCCAGCCGAGCCGGGCTCGCTCGCTCCTCAACCACGGGCCAGGCTGCTTTCCGTGCCCAAACCCACGCAGGAGCCCACGGGCACCGTGCCCACTGCCCACACCAAACTCGGCTTTCCCCGTGTCCGAGCCCGGAGGAGCCGCCGCACACCTCACCTTCAGTCCTGCTCACACCTCACCTGAACCCCGCTCACACCTCACCTGTACCCCGCTCACACCTCACCTTCATTCCTGCTCACACCTCACCCGAACCCCGCTCACACCTCACCTGAACCCCGCTCACACCTCACCCGTACCCCGCTCACACCTCACCTGAACCCCGCTCACACCTCACCTGAACCCCGCTCACACCTCACCCGTACCCCGCTCACACCTCACCTGAACCCCGCTCACACCTCACCTGTACCCCGCTCACACCTCACCTGAACCCCGCTCACACCTCACCCGTACCCCGCTCACACCTCACCTGAACCCCGCTCACACCTCACCTGTACCCCGCTCACACCTCACCCGCACCCCGCTCACACCCGCACCGCGCTCCCCGGCGGGCAGCGGCTCCGCGCACACGCGCTGCCCGGCCGGGGCTGCCCTCCCGCGGAGCTCCGCCGGGGCTGCCCTCCCGCGGAGCTCCGCCGGTGTCGCGGCTCCCGGGCCCCGCCGAGCCCCGCGGGCCCCCAGACAAAGCCCGGGGCGCGCCCCGCCGCCCCCCGCCCGGCCGCGGGGCTCACCTTGCGGTGCTTGTCGGCGAAGGGCAGCGCCAGCCAGGGCATGGCCCGCACCGCCTCCTGCCACTGCTGCTGCTCCTGCTCCGCCGACACGAACACGATCTCCAGGCGCTGCCCGCCGGCCGCCGCCGCCTCCCCCCTGAAGCGCCCGTAGAAGGCGGCCAGGCTGGCGCCGAGCTGCGCGCAGGGGCCGCCGAGGCTGCAGCCGAAGTAGAGCCCCACCAGAGAGACCCCGCGGGCGGCCAGCGCCGACACCGCAACCTCCTCGCCGTCGGCGGCCACCAGCACCTCTCCCAGCACGTCGGTGAGCGCGCCCGCCATCCCGCTCCGCTCCCGCTGCGCGCCCGCTCCGCTCCGCGCCCGCCGGCCGCGCACGCCCCGCCCCGCCCCGCCAGGGGGCGCTGCCGCGCCGCGCGCCCCGTGCCCGCCCCCGCCTCGGGCAGCGCCGCCCCGGCCCGGCCCCCCCCACGTCCCCTCAGAGCCGCGGCCGGCGGGGCCCGGGCACGGAGCGGGGCATGGAGCGGGGAATGGAGCCGGGCATGGAGCCGGGAATGGAGCGGGGCCCGGGCACGGAGCGGGGAATGGAGCGGGGAATGGAGCGGGGAATGGAGCGGGGCCCGGGCACGGAGCGGGGAATGGAGCGGGGCCCGGGCATGGAGCGGGGCACGGAGCGGGAAATGGAGCAGGGCACGGAGCGGGGAATGGAGCGGGGAATGGAGCGGGGAATGGAGCCGGGCACGGAGCCGGGCATGGAACGGGGAATGAAGCGGGGCATGGAGCAGGGCACGGAGCGGGGCACGGAGCGGGGAATGGAGCGGGGCTCGGAGCGGGGCATGGAGCGGGACACGGAGCGGGGAATGGAGCGGGGAATGGAGTGGGGCACAGAGCAGGGCACGGAGCGGGGAATGGAGCGGGGAATGGAGCCGGGCACGGAGCGGGGCACGGCGGGCAAGGGCTGCACACTGGCTCCGCACGATGTTGGGTGGGCGCTGGGGTGAATTCTGCCCTGAGCGGTGGGCGCTGGCGCCGCTCGCTGTGGGTGCGGAGCTGCGGGTGCCCCGTGCCCGGAGCTCCGAGGCCGGGCTGGATGTGGCACTGAGCTGCCCGCTCCGGTGGGAGCTCTGCCAGCCCGTGGGACACCTCTGGTGGCACACACGGGATCGCACAGAGCCGGCCGGGATGAGAAAAGAGCTCCGAGGTCACCAGTCCGAGCTGTGACACAACACTGCCTTGTCAGACCATGGCGCTGATGCCACCTCCAGGGATGGTGGCTCCATCCCAGTGCCCAGTCGCTTTTTCTGTGAAGAATTTCTTCCCAATGTCCAGCCCAAACCTCCCCAGGTGCAGCTGAAGACTGTCCTCTTGTCCTGTCGCCTTGGGCTGGGAGCAGAGGCTGACCCTCTCCTGGCCACTTTTCAGGGAGCGGAAGGGAATGAGAAAGTCACCCCTGAACCTCCTTTTCTCCAGGCTAAGCATCCCCAGCTCCCTCAGCCGCTCCTCCTTCCATAAAGTCCCTTCCAACCCAAACCATTCTGTGACTCCCCACCGGCCCCATGAGGGTAGATCCAGCCTCCCCAAAGCCCACAGATTTATTCCCTTTTTTGTTTCCAAAATCGAACATAAATACATATTTACCCCTACCAAATGCAAGCAGAAAAACCTGAAGCCAATCCAGAAGCGTAAACACAAATTGGGCTGTGTTGAGTTACACCGTCTGTCTGGCTGGGATGCAGAAAGGAAATAAAGCAGAGACAGTGACATGCAAACCAGGCTGTAAAATGAATTTGCTCTTTGGAATCAAAGCCTGCAATCTGCAAGCCTGCAGAATTCACTGCGGGATCCTCAGCTGCTCCCGACCCATGTCCATGCTGCAGAAGAGCCCCAAAACAGCACACTGAAATCTTACTATCCACTGCAATAAACACCTTCATTTTTACAACCCTTCCTTATTCGGATTCTCGTTACTGTTGTTGCTTTCAATTGTATTTAAAATAATTGTGTAGCATTCAGAGCCATTAGGGGATGCTTTATAAATATAATTAATTATCATTATTATTATTATTACAGCTTTACAATCTCTCTTTTCTCTTGCCAAGACCTGCTCCCTAGAGGTGGTTCAAAGCAGGAGAAGTTTGCTCTTGTTTTTTATTTGTCCTGCCTTATCTGCCTTAATTAAGTATCTGGATTCTTCAGGGCAGGGAAGCTGGTTTTTAAGTCTGCAACTCTGAACTCAACCAACCCATGCAGCAAGATAAATATTCTGCTGTAAAAATTCTATTTATGGCTGCAGTTAATACGTCTGGCCCTGCTTTTAGTGAACAAAGCAGGAGGAAGATTCTCTGAAACACAGAAAAAAAATCAAAAGCATTTCTCTCTTAAGGAACAATAAAATAAAATGAGGAAACGACTGTTAATGAAAAAGAAGATGAGGTGGGACTGAACTGAAGTTACACCATGAGAGAGTCAGAATGTGGGGGTGAGGCGCTGGTTCTGCAGCAGAATCACACTCAGGTGCCCCTTGGAGAGGCAGCCGGAGCTGTGCAAGGAGCCAGGACAGAATCCCAAGGTTTAAATAAACAATTCCTTGTCCATATGGAGCCAGTGCCTGCCTGCATTGTTCTAAGTACTATTTATTTTTCATATCTAGTGGGTTCTTTTTCATATTACACCCTAGTTGATTAGTACATACTATATTTTTCACTGAAGTATTTAGCAAGTATTTTTTCAAATATATTTAGTATATTATATAACTATTATATGATACATATTAGTTTATGATATTTTGTTTATTTCTAAAAATAATCTATTTCAGATAAATATTTTTTCAAATATATTTAGCAAGTCTTTTTTGTTTAAAAATATTTTTAATATATTATATATATAATAGTATATTTATAATATAGTCTATTTTTATATATATAGTATATAGTACATTTTATATAGTATATGTAAATATATGTAAATATATATTATGCATGTTATATAATATAGCTAGTAAAACATTATTTATATTATATTATATTATATTATATTATATTATATTATATTATATTATATTATATTATATTATATTATATATTGTAATATATATACCCTATACATATAGTATATATATTACAATATATAGTCTATTTGCTTATATATATAATATATATTGGAATATATATTTTATATATAATTAGATAAATAATTATATATATAATTATGTAATATAAATTATATATTAAAAATTTTATATATTATATATAAATATTTTTATATAATTATATAATATTTTAATATGTATATTTTTAATTCTTTTAATATTTATATTATTTTAATAATAATTGTATAATATAAATTATATATATAAATTTTTATATATTATATATAAATATATAATTATATATATAATTATATATATTATATATATAGTATATATATAATATATATTACAATATATATTATATATATAAGCAAATAGACTATATATTGTGTATATATATATAATATATATATATAATACGAATATTTGGCTAATGATTGGCACATATTGGGACTTCCCTGCATGATCAACAGACACCCGGTGCTCATCAGGGTGACGAAACGCGGCAGGGTTGGCAGTGCCGAGCCCGAGGAGCGGAGACAGAACGGCTGGAAAGGGGCTCCGTGTGCCCCCCCCGTTCCTGCCGGTTCCCGGAGCCCCGGGAGGAGCTCGGGACGCGGGGCTGCGGTGCCATCTGCCGGGAACTGCGGGCACGGCACCGGCACCGGCACCAGCCCCAGGGAGGGAGAACACGGCCGGGAGGAGAAGAAGGAGGAGAAAGGAGAAGGAGAAGGAGAAGGAGAAGGAGAAGGAGAAGGAGAAGGAGAAGGAGAAGGAGAAGGAGAAGGAGAAGGAGAAGGAGAAGGAGAAGGAGAAGGAGAAGGAGAAGGAGAAGGAGAAGGAGAAGGAGAAAAGGAGAAGGAGAAGGAGAAGAAGGAGAAGGAGAAGAAGGAGAAGGAGAAGGAGAAGGAGGCTCCGAGGGACCCGGTGCAGCGGCACAATTCCCCGCAGCAGGCGTGGGGCTCTGTCCCCCCCGGCACGGAGCGAGCCGCCTCCAGCCGCAGCAGGCCGGGTACTGGGAAAGAGCCTTCACCCAAAGGGCGGCCCAGCCTCTTAGTGGTGGAGTCATCATCCCTGGAAATGTTCCAAACCCATCTGGATGTGGCACTGAAATGGCAGAGTTAGCCTAAAGTATCCACTGGTGGCTCTGATCATCTCATCCTATGGTACAAAATTTATATAAAAGCTTAATTCGATTGTAAAAAGCTCTTCAGTTTTTCATTCAGCTGCATTCTGAACTCCACGTTGTGCTGAGGGCAGTGGATTTTCCACCGTGTGTGACATCAGGCGGCAGCCAGGTCTCTTAGAGGAAAGGGACACGTTTCAAACAGTTCAAGGTTTGACATGAATCCATCGTGTCCTGACATCTCCTTTTTGGGCAGCTCTCAATCACCAGAACACTTGTGGGGCGTATTTTAGCAGCAAGATATTGGCTGTGTTTCAGGTTATGGACATCCACATCCAGAGAAAGCCCAGGGTAACCATCCTGCCGGGAATCTGCAGGGAAAACAGGACTAATTCTGCTCTGCGCATGATGCAAGTCAACTGCAATCCTTCTCCTCTCAGTTTTTTATTTCTGGAGTCACATCAGCATTGCTGAGAACTGCACAGAATCCTGGCTGCCAAAACCAGCTCCAGCAGGATGGTCTGTCTGCCTGCTCCAGCTGGATTGGGGCTGGTCACACGTTAACTCCTCCAAATTGCTCTTTTTTAAGGTATCAGCCTCCCAAAACGCTGCTATGGACCCGCTGGATGTCTAAAACAACCGCACGGAATTTGACCCCTCAAATTCCCCCGGCTGGTGTTGCAATCCTGGTAACATCCAGATTGCTGAGGGCAGCTGGTGGTACCTTTGATCCTCCTCGTGTTGGTGGCTCCGGAAGATGAATCCTGATGAATCCAGCTGGCAAGGTCCTTGTCCCTGTCACAGAGGCGGTGCCAGGTCTGTGTGCCAGTGCCTCAGGGCACCCCTGCTCATCCAGCCACGTCCTGGGGTCCACGTCCTCTTCCCTGGAGGAACAGGGTTTGGTTTAAAAGAAAACTGAGTTAAATTGTAGTTTCTCTGAAGGATGAAGCTTCTGTTGCAGCTCCTCTGATTAATGAAACTGCTCAGATCCCAACCGAATGTCTGGACTTCAAAGGGGCAAACTGGGGGCCGTGGGCAGCAGCATCATCCAGGTGCCCAGAATTAAATACGTGAGAGTTTTTGCAGAACTGGGGCCTTAGTGACAAAAAGCAACGGCAAAAAAGGGGTGTTGGGGTGTCCGTTCTGCCACTTTCCAGCAGGACCGGGATCCACGTGGAACCACAGAAACACAAAACAGCGCTTCTGAAAGCGACTGGAGTTGATTTCAAACAACACCAGCCAAACACAAGGAGAGGGATTTCAGTCACAGCCCTGGGACTGAACTGGGAGGGAACTTTTCTCCCCAAGCTTGTAAAGATGGACCTTTTTATTTTCAAAGTCCTTTTCCCCCCAGGTTTCTGCCCGATTCTCCCCCCGCTCTTCACCAGCCGGGGGTATTGATCTCAGCAGGGTCACCAGTAAACTTCAAAGGGACTGACACTTGCACTGCTCGTTTAGGATCATCAATAACACCATCTGAGCCTTATCATTTCCCCTCTGCCTCCACGGGAGATAAGGGCATGGCAGGAGCCCTCCGGCCACTCGCAGCCAGGCTGGTGACAGTCACACCACCAGCCAGTTATCACCTTTTCCCACAACTATTTCTGTTTCTGAAGCGCCAGCCTGCACCTACTGACCACAGGAGAGGAGGGAAAGATCATTGAGATCTTTTGTCCGGAAATACCCTGATTTCATCAGGGCAATAAAATCAGAGTGACTGTGACTCACCACCACCACGATACGATTTTTCATGATGTCACATCATATTTGAAGGGACAAGGGGACAA